CTCCTCCTCCTCCTCCTCCTCCTCCTCCTCCTCCTCCTCCTCCTCCTCTCTCCTCCTCCTCCTCCTCCTCCTCCTCCTCCTCCTCCTCCCTCTCCTCCTCCTCCTCCTCCTCCTCCTCCTCCTCCCTCCTCCCCTCTCCTCCTCCTCCTCCTCCTCCTCCTCCTCCTCTCCTCCTCCTCCTCCTCCTCCTCCTCCTCTCCTCCTCCTCCTCCTCCTCCTCCTCCTCCTCCCCTCTCTCCCTCCTCCTCCTCTCCTCCTCCTCCTCCTCCTCCTCCTCCTCCTCCTCCTCCTCCTCCTCCCCTCACTCCTCCTCCTCCTCCTCCTCCTCCTCCTCCTCCTCCTCCTCCTCCTCTTCCCCCTCCTCCTCCTGCCCTGCTCTTCCTTTTGAACAGCTCCTCCCTGTCGCACCCCGAGGCCAGTCGGAAGGGCGGGCCCGGCGTGTCGCCGTGTCGCCTGAGACTTCCTTACCAGATATGATCCTGAAGCTGAAAACTGACAACAGGAGGAGGAGGAGGAGGAGGAGGAGGAGGAGGAGGGAGGGAGGAGGAGGAGGAGGAGGAGGAGCTTCACAGATGGAGAACAGGTGTTGTTTGATGTGGCTCTCGCCCTCAGCGCCGCGCACATTCTGCTTAAAAGTTGCGGGAGCTTCACAGATTGAGGGCGGGTGGTTTTCAAAATGTGGCCCTCGTCTGAGCGACGTGCACACTTGTTTCAAGAATCCACAAGAGCTTCACGGAAATGTGGGCGTGAGTGGTTTAGAGAGCTCTCTCTGTTCTCAACCCCCTAACCCCCTATCTTCCCCTTCGGGGAGGGGTTTACCCCTCCCCCTACCCCCTCCCCTGGACCTGGAGAGGGCGGGCCGAGTGGTGGCAAGGGGGTCTTTTTCGACTCCTGGGAGGGCCAAAAAAACGACGACCCTCACGAGGATTCTGGCCCCGACGGGGGGACGCAGATTGGCCCCTCTGCTCTTCTTGGAAGCCAAAATCATTGATTTTACCACGGTTTTGGCCCCATTTTGGAGTCCTGAGGGGGCCGCGCTCATCGTCCTTCATAGCAAAATCATTCATTTTACGAAGGTTTTGGGCTCATGTTGTTCTTCTCAGGGGGCAGCGCTCATTTGCGCTTCTGAGGAGGTCGCAAGAGGCCCCAAGATGGCCCCAAGAGGCCCCCAGGAGCCTCCCAAGAGGCCTCCAAGAGACCCCAAGAGGCCCCCAAGAGGCCCCAAGAGGCCCCCAAGAGGCCCCCAAGAGGCCCCCAAGAGGCCCCAAGAGGCCCCACGAGGCCCCCAAGAGGCCCCCCAGAGGCCCCCAAGAGGCCCCCAAGAGGCCCCAAGAGGCTCGAAGGGGCCCCCAAGAGGCCCCACGAGGAGCCCGAACGACTCACACCAGGACGAGGGGCCCGAACGACTCACACCACGAAGAGCCCGAACGACTCACACCAGGAAGAGGGCCCGAACGACTCACACCAGGACGAGGCGCCCGAACGACTCACACCACGAGGAGCCCGAACGACTCACACCACGACGCGGGCCCCGAACGACTCACACCACGAGGAGCCCGAACGAGTCACACCAGGAGGAGGGGCCCGAACGACTCACACCAGGATGAGGGGCCCGAACAACTCACACCACGAGAAGCCCGAACGACTCACACCAGGACGAAGAGCCCGAACGACTCACACCACGAAGAGCCCGAACGACTCACACCAGGAAGAAGGGCCCGAACGACTCACACCAGGACGAGAAACCCCAAACGACTCAAATCACGAGGAGCGCTTTCTCTCCCTCATCCTCCGCCTCGTCCTTCTCCCGCTCCCCCCACAAGGAGGATGCACAAGGAGGCGGGAGGAAGGAGGAACAGGGGAGATATGCGGGGCCAAGCGGACACACGCCTGAAAAACACGACTGTCGGCATGCTTCGCGAGAGTTGCTGCTGTGAGATGGGCTGGTGGGGATACGCGAAGCGTAAAGACTTTCTACATGTGACTCACGCATTAGTGGCGCCGCGCACACACGCTTCAAAGTTTGCAAGAGTTTACTATGTGTCTTCAAAGTGTCGCTATCGCCCTAGCGCCGCGCATACTCGTTTTTTGCATGTGCGAGAATGTACTGAGGGCGGCTCCTTCTCAAAATGTGGCTCTCGCCTTAGCGCCGCGCACATTCGCTTAAACAACTTGTTTGGGTTTCACGGATTCCCATTGCTCGCGTACCAGAAACGGCTGTTCGGAAGGATTCAAAATTGTCAGAACGCAACCGTTATGTTGATTCGCGGTGGTGACATGCTAAGAACAGCGTTCTGGCGCGATTCACGGTCGTCAGAACGCAACATTCGACTTGATTCGTAGCGTTGGAACCCAGGGGATGTTTTTCCACACGTGTCAAGATCTTCAAACGGTTGCCTCCCAACGGGGCACTTCCCTCAGTGTAAATGGATCCTAGTAAGGGGCCTATGAAAATGGAGCTTGGAGGAGGGTCTATTCCAACATCGTTGATGGGTCTTTGGTTTACACTGGTCCTCCTCCCTCCTCCTCAACCTCCTCCTCCTCCTCGTTTTCATCATCATCATCATCATCATCATCATCATCATCATCATCATCATCATCATCCCAGCCAGCTCTCCTCCCACTCTTCCTCCTCCTCCGCCTCCTCCTCCTCCTCTTCCTCCTGTTCTTCTTCTCCGTATTATTGTTCACAGTAATGTTTCTATAAGTATTATTATTAGCATTAATATCATTAGTATTAGCATTATCATGAGTAGTATTATCATGGATATTATTATGTTTATTATTATTATTCCTCTTCTTCCTCCTCCTCCTTCTCCACCTCGTCCTCCTCCACATGCTCCTCCTTATCCTCCTCCTTCTCCTCCTCCCCGCTCGTTTCCTGCATTCCTTTTTCTTATACGTAAGTAATTCCTCCCTGTCGCACCCCGCGGCCGGTCGAAAAGGCGGGTTGGGCCTTCTGCCTGCGACCTCCTCACCATCTATGAACGTGAAGCTTAAAAATCCGGCAACAGTTTCGCAGATGAAGTGTGGGTGGTTTAAACATGCGGTTCTCGCCTCAGCGCCGCGTACATTCGTTTCACAAACTTGCAGAATGTTTGCAGGTTGAGGGCGGGTCGTTTTCAAAGTGTGGCTCTCGCCATAGCGCCGCGCAACTTCATTCAAAACTTGCAGGTGCTTCACGGATTGAGGGCGGGTGGTTTTCAAAATGTGGACATCGCATTGGCGCCTGGCACAGTTTTCCCAATAATGGAAAAGCTTTACGGATTCAGGATGGGTAGCTTTCGAAATATGGCTCTCGTCTTGGCGCCTCGCACATTCGTTGTTTAACTTGCAAGAGATTCACGGATTCAGGGCGGGTGGCTTTCAAAATGCCGCTCTCGCTTCACCGCCAGGCACACTCGCTTTAAAAGTTTACAAGCGCTTCACGAATTGAGGGCGGCTCCTTTTCAACATGTGGCTCTCGCCTCAGCGCCGCGCACATTTTCCACTTGCAGGAAACGGCAGGGCGGATCCTTTTCAAAATGTGGCTCCCACCTTAGCGTCGCGCACGTTCGCTTACAAAAACTTCGAATGTTTCATTACTTCCCATGGTCAACGTACCAGAAATGGCGCTTTGAAACGATTCAGGGCTGTCAGGGCCAAATAATTACATTGATCAGCTGTATTGACATCCCAAGAACGGCGTCCTGGCACGATTCAGGATCGCCGAGACGTAACAGTCAGGTTAACCCGTGGCGTTGAAGTCCTGAGAACAGTGCTTTAGTACGCTTCAGGATGTTCACACTGTTGTCTCCCAACGGGGCAATTCCCTCAGTGGCAATGAACCCATGCAGGGGCCTATGAAGAGGCAGCTTGGAGGGAGGGTGGATTCCAACATCCTTGATGAATAATGGGCTTACACTGCTCTTCCTCCTCCTCCTTCACGTCCTCCTCCTGCGTCGGAAGTCCTCATCCCCCATCCGTCCTCCGTCCTCCGTCCTCTGTCCTCCGTCCTTCTTCTCCTCCTCCGCCTCCTCCTCCTCCTCCTTCTCCTCCAAGACCTGACCCCGATTCCCGACTCAAGGCCTACTGGGCGCTGCAAGAGCGCCAGCGGCTCACATCACAAGGCCCAGGTTCAGCAGGTCTGGCCACTGGGGGCGGGGGAGAAGGGGGAGGAGGGAGGGGAGCGTAAGGGGGACGAGTGGGAGAGGGAAGAAGTGAAGGAGTACGGGAAAGGAGACGAATGGAGCAAAGGAAAAGATGAAGAGGGGAAGAGTGGAAGAGGGATGGCGAGGAGGCGAATGGGGGAGAGGAGCGAACTCAGGTGGAGGAGGCAGGCAGAGGGGAGCGGGGCAGGGGCAAGCGGAGGGGAAAAGGCCGACCTTGCTTGATCCCACGGGCCCTCTGGGCTGAGGTGGTTTAGAGGGCTGCCTCTTCAGTCCTCACCCTTTTCTTCCCATTCGGGAAGGGGGCCATCACTGTTCCATATAAGGTGTAAAACCCATCCAGATCCTGAACGGCAACAAACCCGAAACCATGGAGGAGGAGGATGAGGAGGAGGAGGAGGAGGAGGAAGAGCTGGAAAGGGGAGCAAGTGGGAGCACACCCGTCGACGAAGCGATCAAACGCGAGAGGTTCTTCTGATCTGCTGCTCGACTGTGTCAGTGCGAAGTGGGCACACGTCATCACACAACATCGCCTGGGCAAACTGGCAATGTGCGGCCAAGAGCTCGGATGAACTCTGAGCTGGTCTCCTTTTCCTTGAGGGCAAACCCCAGTTCGCGCTGAGGTCTTTAGGTTCCCTGTCAGTTGCTAACGGGGCCTCTCCTGAGCGAGGCAGCGTGAAGAGGCTCAAGAGGAGGGGCCAGAGCAATTGTTGGCGAGGCACCCATCTACCACGGGGCGCAGAGCTCTTCTTTAGCTCGGAAGAACTCTGAGCTTGATGGGCGCGGCTGCAGGGGTAGGACGCCACAGAAGAGGAGAGGGGGGATGAGGGCCACTCCCGCCGAGCGCCGCACTCCGCTGCGCAAGCTCCAGGCCACGGCAGGCGGCGGAGGCCTTGACACCGCCCTCCTCCTTCTCGAGGTCGAGCACCAGTCTCCTCCCGAGGAGGGCGAGGAGAGAAAAGGCTTGAGAAGCTTGAGGGTTCGCACGAGAAGCGGACAAGAGCAGAAGGCAAGGAGGAGGAGAAGGAAGAGGGAGACGACGATGACGACGACGGCGGCGACGAGGATTCTTCATCCTCCTTCTCCTCCTCCTCCTCCTCCTCCTCGCCTGCTCCTCAACCTCCTCCTCCTCCTCCTCCTCTTCTTCGCCTCCGTTCTTTTCCTTATAAATAACTCCTCCGTCAGAAGGGCGATCTAGGCGTTTCGCCTGAGACTTCCTCACCATATGTGACCCTGAAGCTTACACATCGACAACAAATTCACACATGGAGGGCGGGTCGCTGCCAAAATGTGCCTCTCGCCTTGACGCCTCGCACATTCGTTTCAAACAATTGCAAAAGCTTCACGGATTGAGGACAGGTCGTTTTCTGAATGTGGCACTCCCCTTAGCGCCTCGCACATTTGTCGTGCAAATATCCAGGAGTTGCACAAAGTGAGGGCGGGTCTTTTTCGAAATGCGGCTCTCACCTTAGCGCCGCGTACATGAATTCTGAAAATGCAAGAGGTACACGGATTGAGGGCGGGTGGTTTTCAAAATGTGGCTCTCGCCTTGGCGCCGCGCACATTCGTTTCGAAGATTTGCAAGAACGTCACCAAGTGAGGGCGGTTACTTTTTCAAAATGTGGCACTCGCTACAGCACCGCGCACACTCCTTTCAAACCATTTGCAAGAGTTTCACGGATTACCATAGTCAGCGTGCCAGAAATGGCGTTTTGGACGGGCTCCAGATTGTGAGGGCGCAACAGTTACTTTGATTCGCGGGTTTGAAGTCGCAGCAATGTTGTTCTGGCACGGTTCCGGATCGTCAAAAGGCAACAGTCACATTGGTTCGTGACGTTAGTCCCGAGAACGATGTTTTGGCACGCTTCAAGGGGGGGCCAATGAAGAGGGAGCTTGGAGGGAGGGTTTCTTCCAACATAGCTGATAAGTCTTGGGTATAAACGGGTCCCCCTCCTCCTCAACCTCCTCCTCCTCCTCCTCCTCCTCCTCCTCCTCCTCATCCACCTCGTCCTCCTTCTTCTCCCATCTCTCCCTCCGCCCCTCCCTCCCTCCCGCCTCCTCCTCGATTCAGCCGAGTCCCTTCGGAAGAGCTCGGTAGAACCATCGCACCTAAAACGACTCCAAGACTCCCGACGTGCCCCCTGGAGCCCCCCGAGAGGCCCCGAAGAAGCGCCCAAGAAGCCTCCACGACGAAGAAATTTGGGGAGAACTAGGCTGCGGACAATGAGTGGGTGCTTACGGCGCATGCGTAAACAGGGCACTGAACTGCTGTGCTCCTGCTGCATTCCTGCTCTTGCGCGGTGACGGGGTTCGCCGCAGGCAGGCGGATTATCAGTCTCCACCTTACTCAAAATACGTGGCCTCCTTATCCTCGATATTTTGCATCCATAGTTTTAAATCATCCATCCAACCCATCATCGTCCTCTTCATGATCCGATCATCATAATCATCATCATCATCATCATCATCATCATCATCATCATCATCATCATCATCATCATCATCATCATCATCATCATCATCATCATCATCATGATCATCATCATCATCATCATCAGCATCAGCAGCATCATCATCATCATCATCATCAGCAGCATCAGCAGCATCACTCTCATTGTTAGTTCCTGCTTTCATCCGCATGAACGCATCGCCTCCACATCTTTTCCATCGCCCTCGCCTTGCTCGGCCTCGCTTTGACGGCGGGCTGGCTGGTTTGCTGCCTGGCTCGCTGGCTAAATGGCCAGATGGTTCATCGACCGACTCAGTGGCGCGCTGAAAACTGTGGCCTCATCTTGGAAGCGGCCAGGGGATCTGCGCTAGATGGGTCCTGAGGACAAAAAAAAACTCGAAATCTGCCCAAGGAGCCCTCCCAGGAAGCAGACACACAGTAGCCCCCAGAGGCCGAAAATTGGAGAGAAATTGAAAGATCCGTCGTGATCTTTCCACGACACGAGCATGCCTGGGGGAGGAGCTGTCCTCTTGTCCCCGGAGCCCTCCAGGTGGTAGTCGAAGGCAACCTCCTCCCGGAGGCTTGGAAGTGGGCACCGGCACCAACACAGGGGGCTGCATCCACCAGTGGGGGGGGGGATCCTAGATGTCGGTGTTGGTCCTACTACTTCGGCTTCAAGGGAAGCCCGAACATCACCGCCAACACCGAGATCGGGATCGTCTCCCCTCGGTGGAGGCACACCGACGACGTCGGTGCTGGTGTCGACCTCCAGGCCTCCAGTCCTCCACAGGCCTGAAGAAGCTGCCCTCGATGACCGGCTGCAGCTCGTGGCCAGCCACCTCGGCCCCCCCGAGGGCAGCAGCGGGCAAGGCAGCGCCGTTGCGCTTGCTGGTGCTGAGCGCTTCGCCTCTGAAAGCCGCCGCCGCCACCGCCGCCACCGACGACGACGACGACGACGACGACGACGACGGTGACGACGACGACGAAGAAGAAGAAGAAGAAGAAGACGACGACGACGACGACGACGACGACGGCGACGGCGACGACGCGCAGACGCCCCGCGCGCCTAATTGCGCGCCGCGGGCGATCGGCGCCGGAGGCCCCCGGACCTCCAGGGGACCCGGTTTCCGTGTCCGAGGGGAGGCGCGTGAGGCAGGCCGCCTGTCCATCCGGCATCCCGAGGCTCAAGAGGAGTGAGGGGGTTGGAGCAGGGGTGAGTGGCTGAAAGACGCCCCCTCTTGCGCTCGAACATGGGCGACGAAAAGAAACGGGTCTCACGCGAGATGACACACGCAGCGACCTTACGCTGCGGCTTACGCGGGACGCCAGCGTGGCACACCGCGTGGAGAAGGGGACGCTCAGGCGCGGCCTTGCGCGTGAAGCTCACGCGCGAAGGTCGGCGCAATCGAGCCCGCTTGCTTCCGTCGCTCACCTGGCCCCGCCTTCCCCGAGATCTGGGCGCTGCAACTTCCTCGCGCCAGACGTTTTCGTCCTTCCTGGGGCCCAAGGACCATCATAGATCGATCCGCCTCAAAAAACGCCGCAGAAAGATTGGGTCTAAGGCTCTGGTCATGATTGTCGCGATGTTACCATCTTTCGCGGCGTCGGACCTCAGGGTTCCTCGCCACCGCCCCGAGGACAACACAACTCAAGACCGAACCCCGCGGCAATCAGGACACCTGCGCAGTCGCACAAGTCGGGCCGGAGGGAGAGCGTGAGCCAGACGCCCTACGAGGCGCACTCCTGGCAGCTCATCGGCAAAGAGCTACCAGATGCTTTGGCGCGAACGAGGACCCCTCCTCGGTTCTCCACCGAAGTGAGAGGGCCGAACTTGATGCCGCAGCGGGGCTGGGTCTGCCCGCGGTCCCTCAAGACCATGCCGAAGGCAAAAAAAATGCAAAACGACAGAATATGCGGGCACAGAAATACTGGAGTCCGTATAGGCCCGCGAGGGTGCGGGTCAGAGCCCTATGAGCGCGATGTCCGCGCTCTGGCGCCCCAAAAAAACGCTGTGTGAACTCATTTCCCAGGCCATGCCATGTGCAATTGTCACAGGTACGCGCCCACCAACAATTGGCGACCACTCTACACTGGCAGTCCTGTACCATTTGTCCACACGTGCGTTAAGCCCAAGACCTTTACAATACCCTGGTCCAAACGTTAGGTCGGGCATGTCCTCCTACAAGCGGTTTCTGGGAGAAAACTAAAGAATGACAGAAACAACTAGAAATAGACCCCCCCAAAAAAATACGAAAAATCGTCCCCATACTATTTTGGACTATTACGGGATATTCCTCCTGTGGGGGGACGTGCCCGACTCCAGAGTATTTCCGTCGATGAACTGACACCCTGGCTCCAAACCACGATCACGGGAGCCCCTTTGGTGATCGGCGTTGGAATCGCTGTCGTAGTGGTTGTCGGTGGCGCCACTGCTGGGCGTCGCTGGATTTTTGCCTGTGCTGTCCGTGCGGGCGGTAGTCCGCTGATCAAGTGAAGCCCCTTTGGGCCCTGGAGCAGCATGGATGTAGCATGTGGGTGAATGCTGTGCCTGGAATGCCTACCGAGACGCACTGCGGCGAATACGATCAAGAACACCTGAAACCCTGAAGCGTGCCTGCGCTGAGTCCACCACAGCGCCTGCGCTGGTTGGTGTGTGCCGGGGCTGTGTCTTTGCTGGCTCGCTTCGCGTTCTCGGCGCATCGAGCTCAACATAGATTCCATTCAATGGAACAAATCCCAGCGCACTAAGGTCTTACAACAAAAACGATGCCCAAATCCAAAATCCTGGCGGGGAGGTTCCGTGGCACCTGCTCTCCCCAGCCAGACCCCCATCCCCCACTAAGTCTCCTGCACCCCTCCCCGAAGGCGCCCGCCCGAGCGCGGATTCGTGCGGTAGTTAGCCCATGTCTGAAGCCTTTTTGTTCGACGCTTTGCTGTTCACCCAACAGCGTAACCCACGAGAATCGGCGAGTGACAGCAATTGGCGCGTAGTTTTGAGGTCGTTTGAGAGTCCGCTGGCTCACAGAGCGTATGGTGATGGAAGTGCACCTACACTGTTCCAGCTGTAACCTCCCAAGTCGAGTAATATTGCTGAACACTGGGTTTGCTGATGAGCCCGCCCTGGGCCTTCAACGGCGGCTGTGATCACGGTACTGTCTTTGTATCTCCCGCTTCTAAGCTGTCTTAAAGTTTGCGCATATCGTCCTGCTTGCAGGGTGGCACAAGGCGTGGCACGTCGTCGGGCCTCCTGCGTCGCGTCGGCTTCGGGGATGAGGCCGCTCCCCCCCCCTCTTGCCGAAGAATGGGGCTTCCTCCTGGGCAGGGCACGGGGCTCCGCCTCTACACGGATCGTCTTGGAAGTGACCTTCACCGAGACGTCCTGCTTCTGGGTCTCAGGCGGCACCCTGATATCCGCCAGCCCTGTTCGGGCACCCGAGCCGTATGTACCACGCTCGTCTAGGCAGAGCCCAGGCCTGGGCTCGCGCCG